GAATGAGATGAAAGCCCAGTGCAATTAGGCTTCTTATCGTTTTAATTAAGAAAGCCATTCGGCCATATCTGCTGCCGACGCCATAACACGTAATGGCAGAGTCTCTGATGCCTGAAGTACTGTTTGTGTGCGTGCATGTTCTGTATGTATGTGTTGCATGTGTGTGTGTACATACAGTATATGTATGTGTATGTGCGTGCGCCCTAGTAACACGGTTTCCAGCAATCTCTCTCCCACCCTTCTTTTCTCTTTTATCAGTCTGTGTTCTCCAATCACTATTCCCACTTGTGTGTCTATCCAAACATCCTGTTCTATCCCTCGTTATTTCCTTCTTCTCAAAGAGACAAGGTCAGAGTCCTGTGCAAGTACTTCAAACTCGGTTCAAGAATGTTGTCTGAGTGCTTCTTTTAAACCTCTTTGTTAAACATTATGTTATTAATGTCATTTTCTTTGTCTGCTCTTAAATGCTTGCAGCCAAATTTTGTTGTAGTTTTTATGTTGCGGCTCATGCATACACACACAGGACACACAGCTTATCGCTGTGCGTGTAAACTGCTGTTCCCCATATCTATTTACATAGGATGAGAGAGTTACACAGCTGTAAGCAAATTATTCTGGCTTTTTTTTTTCTTTTACCCCTCGCCTAAAAGAGGAGGAGAAAAGGGGAAACTGTAACTACCCTGTTAGCGGTGTTAACACCCAACCGAGCTCTTCTACTCCCATTCTGTTCTCTCCCTCCATCCTCCCTCCCTGTTACCCTGGCCTATCAGTGCAGAGCACTGGTCTGTGAAGAAATTCCCAATATCTAAATTTACACACTGTATCAATCTTGTTTAATAGACTGGAAAGCTTATAGCTGCCGTGGCAAGCCAGCAGAGAGGGCAGTGGTGATAAATTGTCGGTGTGCAGGCGACAGCCGCCCGTGATGTATAATGAAATATTTATGATTTATCCCAGCTAATAAACTGAAATGAAGTGCGTGATGTATGAGAACAGATGGGCCCTCTATTGATGCTGAAGCAGAGAGGCAAGATGGGGAAGAGGAGACGGAAAGATAAGGTGGAGAGAAGGAAACAGGAGGTGTGATGAGTGCTGCTCCATAGATAGTGAGGAAAAAATGGGGGGCAAGGATGGGACTAAAAATAAAATGTAAAAAAAAGGCATAGTTTTGTGTTTGGCTGACACGAGAGTAGGAAAAGCTGAATAAGTATATTGCAATGCAAGATGGATAAGGGGACACAGCGTTAGAGTAGAGAACAAATGAGATTAAATGATGTAGTAGAATACAAAAAAAGATGGCAGTAGAAACAGAACACCATCAAAATACAGTTGTGTTTATTCTAGGTAAGGCAGGGCATTGATTTTATATATTAGATGCAGACCTTTTCTTGATGTAGTGTCTGCAAACATGCTCAGCTTAACCTTATGGGAAAGTTCCGTGCAGGGTTGTATCTAAGATTTTAGAAATGCTGAGGTAATGAGTCTCCCGGCGCAGCTCCGTCTCTCCTAAGAAAACAAAACGGGAGTTCAGCATTTTAGGTAATACACTTATAACTGTCTTTCTAAGAGTCTGATAACAAGATTACAACCACTCTCAAATTTGTTTCTTATGAAGCAACTGCCAGCAGCCAGTTAACTTAGCTTAGTATACAGTAGCTTCAAAAAGTGATCGGACCACTTTTTGTACATATTACTGTAGATTTTATTTTAAAATGGAAAAAATTGCCATTTTTCCCAATCCCTACTCATTATCCTATAGTGACAAACTGAATACATGTTCTGAGAACTTTTTGCTACTTTATTTAAAATCAAAAACAGTATCCAGAGGTTTAATTCTCTACTTTTGTAGAAGCCTCATTGGCAGCAGTTACAGCTTTTAGTCTTTATGGTAAGTCCCACTAGCTTTGCAGACTGTACCTGGATTGGGACAGTTTATCCCACTCTTCTTGGCAGATCCTGTCTTCAGGTCTCTCCACAGATGTTCAAGGACAGTCAGAGAGTTGTCCAAAAGCCACTCCAGCATTGTGTTGTCTGTATCTTTCGGGTCATTTTCTCAGGTTGCATGCACTCTGCAACAGATTTTTTTCAAGGACCTCTTTTTTCAGTTCTGACCAGCCTCCCTGTCCCTGCCATAGTCTCTCCCATGATGCTACCACCACCATGCTTCACTGTAGAGATGGTGATAGCCAGGTGATGGGCAGTGCTTGGAATTCTGTTCAAACAGTTCAGTTTTGTCTCATCAGATCAAAGGGTCTTTTCCTCATGCTCTCAGTCTCTGAGCCATATTGGTTTCCATCTTCCCAGAAAGGCCGGATTGATGGGGAGCTGCTGAGATGATTGTCCATTTAGCATGTTCTCCCATCTCTGCAGAGGACTTCTGGAACTCTGTTACAGTGACTGTTGTGTTCTTTGTCACGACCTTGACCACCTACAGAGAGAGATGTCTACAGGGAGTTCCTTGGACTTCATGGCTTGGTTTTTGTCCTGACATGCAGTATGAACTGTTGCAACTTATATACACAGGTCTGTTCCTTTATTACCTATGGCCTGTCATTTCAGTTTGCCACATAAATGTCTACACAGCTCAAGGAACACTAAAGCAAACAGGATGTACCTGACCACAGTTTGCACATTTTAGCTGTGGTGGCTGTGGCTCAGGAGGTAGAGCGGGTCATTGGCAGTTCAGTCACCGGCTTCTACATGTCAAAGTGTTCTTGAGCAAGACTGTGAACCCCTAGTTGTTCCTGGTGATGACACCTGTATATGAATGCATGAATGGGAAACTGTGTAAAAACACTACTGTATGTAAGACTGTTTACCAATTTGGAGTGCCAGCAAAGGGTCTGAATGCTTTTGTAAATGAGGAATTTCAGATTTTAGTTGTTAATACATTTCCAAAATAACTTGAAAGAATAATTTTGACTTTATCATTACAGTTTCTGACTGTAGACTGATGGGCAGAAATAATAATTTCATTTATTGTATCCCCCGTATGTCTGAAGAAGGTGTCTTTTGTATTACTGAGGGTAAAAACTGTCATTTAAGAATGTTAATAATTAGCCTGAGTGTGTTTAAGTGTCTAATGTGAACGCCTCCTCAGGCCATTTAATCCCCACAGTTCCAGAAACAGAGCAGATACATTTTCCTTGATGTCCTCAGTGGTCCACCAGCCGTAGCCTCTGTTTGTACCTTTACTGATCTGTCTTTCTGCTGTCTTTGTTCAGCCCTCCACCCACACTCTTCTATTCCCCCTTCGGTCCCAGCTGCAGACACACCGCCTGTAATAATCCAAAAGGACACCTTCCCATTCCTTCTTTTGGTCTCTCTCCTACTTCCTTCCTATGTCCATTTTTCTCTTCCTCTGTCTCTCTCCACTCATCCATACTGACCCATTTCCTCTACTCGTCATCCCCGGGCCCAGCTGAGACCCACATCCCACATGCTGTACTCATCCTCCCCCACAGCTTTCCCCTAGACTCTTGCGTCCGTGTGTGACAGTGTGCTTGGGTGCAGGGAGAAGATGTGGGGAGATCTTAAACACTCATCTATCCACTGCACTCTGACTTTCTGTCTCAAACATACTTACATACACATACAGTACACACACACGTCTTGTATTCAACCAAGTTTACGTGCCCTACTTTACTGGTATCATTACAGTAATATGAGTGTTACTTAAACTGTATATGTTGTCTTGTTGTGGCAAGCACAGCTCAGACTGTGTTTTTGTAACAGAAAGTAAATAAAGATATTTGGAGACAATGCTAATACGCTGTTGATTCTCAGTGTAATTTAAAAACAAATGGTGAAACTGCAAACTGTTTAGTTTTTTTCCAGATTAAAAGACATTACCATATTTTTCAGTAATCAGTCCATGCATTTTCTACCTGATATGTTTGTCTTTTAGGAGACACAGTGGTCTATAAAGATGGTGTTTATTGGATCATGGGCCGCAGCAGTGTTGACATCATCAAGACTGGTGGCTACAAGATCAGTGCACTCGAGGTGGAGCGTCACCTCCTGGCTCATCCAGACATCATAGGTTAGAGTGCTGTACAGGTTTAGTCTATAAGTAGCAGGACAGTAACGTACTTTTCACTGTTTAGGCTCTGTCCTGTAGCACACAGTTTGTGAAATGAAATGAGTATCATAATGTCAGGGAATTTAACAGTATTCTCATAGCATTTTTACATAGTATACAATCCCCCAGTGCAGTAGTTCAATTATTCTAAACATACAGACAAACGAGGAGTTTTTTATGACTAAACAATGGAATGGTCTTCACTGTCCCCTAAGGGCAACAGTTTGTACACACTAATTTGCATGTAAACATCCTCTAATTAAAGATAAAAGTCAGCTTGTTAAACTTGACAACATGTCCACTTTGTGTGATTTTTAACCTTGCAGATGTGGCTGTGATTGGGGCCCCAGATGCCACTTGGGGACAGAAAGCCACTGCAGTGGTGCAGCTAAAGAAGGGGCAGAGTATGACCTTGCCAGAGCTGAAAGCCTGGGCAAGGTACTGTGTCTTTTAACTTGATCATCTTTCCCTTGTACCAGAGCATATGAGCCAAGTGGAGCGGTGAGAATTCCCGCTCCTCGCTCATGGAGCTGTTCACCCGCTCCGCTCCCGTGCTTCAAGCCACACTGGGCTGCTACACTCGATATCGCTCAGTGCTCAACTCAGATCGCACCCGCTCACTCCAAAATAAGGGGAAAAAATCTGCATGTGTTTTACTTTTAGTTTAAACTGTAGCCTTACATCCCAAAGACCTAAAGAACAACAAATACTTAGTTTATTCATTTTAAATTACAGTTAGGCCTATATAACAAGGAATATAACACACAAGTCGTATGTAAAATTCAACAAATCAGTGGACCTAATTAAATAAAAATGTACAGTATACCTGTATGACCTTTCAGTTTCTTTTCTAAAGTACTTCAGGAACTCCATTGTTGAGCTTGCAATGGCCAGTTTTTGATTGCGAGTGTTGGATGACTGTGCAAGATGCGGATGCATTCTCAGTCGGGTGTGGGCATACTTCAGGCTTGTGGTGTCAGCGGTACCGGAGCAAAATTGGAGCCTTTGCTTTGTCCAAAATCCCCCTACTCGCCCTCCGCTCATATGCTCTGCTCTGTACAGTGTCTCTTGGTTAGCTCTCTAATAAAATTTGTGGATTATCATATACTTGCTTTCAAAATTATGTTAAAGTCATGTAGGGTTGTAAGATTCTTTGTCATAGTATGATAACCTGTTGTGCAGTGTTTTGCGGTCTACTAAGGCACTCAAGTCATGGATCTATTATTCTGAACTGGTCTTCCTGATTCATATTTTGTCTTGTCAACATGCCCAAACTAATGCAGCCGCTTCCATTATTTTAACACTGTGCTGTTTTTGGCCTGACCAACCTGTAAACTTGAAGTCACAAACCACTGGACCACCTGCCACCTTTAAAAATGCTCCATGGCAGCAGGTGGCCTCCCATACCACCAGTGGAGACTGACCTGAATAACATCCAACCAATCCATCATCCTGAATCCACAATACAAAAAGAGCACCCTATCCTATTATTGTAAACTAGTGCTGACCCGGTTGTGGTAAAATCTTATTGCTCTGATTCAGGAATACAGTTTCCACAGCTCTTTGTCAGTCCTGTGGTAAACAAATGAAACCTCCTGTTGCAGACTCTGCAGCTCTCCACACAGTTCAGCACACACATCTCAAGTGACTGGCCCTGAAATCATCAGAGCATCAGATCGATATGAAAAGATGTGAGAGAAAGAGAGGCCAGAGTTGGACTAATGAGGGGAGCTGACGGAAAGACAGGAGATGAAAAAGAGGAAGATTTGGAAGAAGCGAACAAATGGTTGTTATGGAGGGCTTTGTCTTTTGAGCTAACGGGTTTTTTTTCTCTCTCTTTCTAAATGTCAGTGGAGGTTATTTTGTCTATCGCAGACAGCTGCTGTTGACATGGCAGCCCTCCACTTTGGGATGACGTTAGGCATAAATACTCTTTCATTTTCTTTTCCTTTTGTTTTCCTCTTCCCCTTATAAAATGTGGTTATACTGATTTTTCCACCCTTTTCTTCTTTTTTCCTCCACACCTTCCTTTCTACCACTCTCCACAATAATTTATTCACATCTATGTGAGTTCTATGTTCCATATGGTGCGGGGGTGTTAGATCCTACCGTTGTGACCTGCTGGTCTAGCATGGTGGATTACTGCTGCTGCCCGTTACCTAGGTTAACACACACACACACACACACAAACACACACATTGTTTGCAGCCACAGGTGCTGCCAGTGGACAAGCAGTGCCAGCACACAGATCAGAGTGTATGGAAGAAAGAGAGGGAGATAAAATGAGACATAAACAAGTAGATGGATGCTCACTCTTCAGTGCCCTGGCTTCAGCTGTCAGTCCGAATCTCTGTCACAGCCCACACTGCCTTGAACGCCCAAGCTCACACACACACAGACACACTGCCTGAAGAATTTGGTGACACAAGCAAGCCCCCATTACAGAGATGTGTATGCATGCACAAATACTCACTCACACTTTACTCACTGAGTCAGAGAGATGGAGACATCTGCTGAAAGGAGTGTTTGATGGCAGCAGTATGAGTCATTATGCTCCCTCGCATCACAAGCATGCACACAGAAACACACTCTCACATACCAACAAACAAACAAACTAGGTTAGAAGATAATAAAGAAGCTCCAGGCTCTAAGACTTGACGTAACAACCATGCACTCAAAACGGAAAAAATAAAACACTTTTAATTATCCCAGCCTTCTGTTTTTGCTTTTATTATTATTATTTTTTTCATCTCAGTGATTATATTGTTTTGTACAAAGGGAATTGTCTGTATCTTGAAGGCGAATTATATATATTATGGAGGAGAGCTGCAGAGTGTATGAAGGGCATTTCTTTCCCTGTCTCAGCTACTTTGCCACAGGGGTATCCTGTGTTTTGTAATTGTTTTCTGTTTTTGTTTTTGTTGTTGCGTATGTGTGTGAACATGCATGCTCCCATCCGCTGTTGTATATTCATCACTGTTGTGTGTTATTATGCAGGCTCGTCTCAGACTAGTCTGTGCAGATCTCCTTTCTGTTGTAAACAGTTGCACTGTATTAACATCAGTGTTTATTGCAGGGAGCACATGGCACCCTACGCCATCCCCACAGGCCTGGTGCTGGTGGAGGAGATGCCAAGGAATCAGATGGGCAAAGTCAACAAGAAAGACCTCCTGCAACACTTTTTCCCACGACTGGACCACTTGAATATGTAAAACAACATACAGGTTCCTGGTAAAGGACTGCAGGTGTACATGGGAAAACATTTCGATTTCTTTTTATGAAGTTCACTGCACTGTGGCACAGTGGGTGTAGTTTGTGCATTCTTCTATAATTGCAAAATATAGTGCACTGTAATGATTAACAGTACATAGACTTTTCAATCTGCCCTAATGAGATGAGAAAAGCTGGTTTAGTCTGCGTTGATCAGAGAATACAGAACAATAGGCTTGTTGATAGAGAATCAGGAATTTTAGTTATGCCCCATCAAACAAAATACTAAAAATTCTGCTGGTATATAATAGGAGACTTGATGAATTTGAAATGTTATCAGTGAGAAACCGTATAAATTTGTACACGCTGATGCCCTTGAAATAATGTTTTGCTGAAAATTAAAATGTTTTATAAAATTTAAGTTAAAAGTGTTTTTTGGAGTTATTTTTGTTTGCTACTTTTTCATTATCCACAGTCTTGTTACACTTGTTTTCTCTGTGTGTGTGTGTGTGTGTGTGTGTGTGTGTGCATGTGTGTGTGTGTGTGTGTGTGTGTGCATGTGTGTCTGTGCAGCTGTGGTTACACAGGTGTGATAGCCTGAAGGCAGGTTCTCTAGCAAGGCACAACACCACAGCTGGATGCCCCGCACTCCATCTGACTAACCCTCTCGCTCTTCTCGCTCTTCAACCCTCTCATCCTTTTTCATCTCCATTTCTCCAGTACTTCATCTCTTCTGTCTTCATCACAAGTCAAAACAAATTGCAGTGGCACTGGGACCAACTTGACTGTGGACTCGTTTTGACTCAGCTCTGGCATGCTGCAAGAATAGGCAGAGAGTAACGAAGAGATGGTAAGAAAGACACAGAGAGGGGAAAAAATATAAAACAGGATTGTCAGAGATTGCAAGGTTGACTAGAGCTGGCTAGAGAAAGCCGATAGAAAAGGGGATGAAAGAAAATGCATAAAAGTCAGTGAGTTTTGAATTAGTGATACACAGAGAATTTGGAGAAGAGGAAACACTAAAATATGGTTGAAATAAACAGTCGTGAAGAACAGCCAGAGAAGTGAAATGGAAAGAAATACAAGTGCAACCTCCAGCCAATACAACCTCCTGTCCACATACACGCGCTCGTCCGCCCACAGTCACCAGAGACCTGATTAAGAGAGCAGAGCTATCGATCTGTGGGCTGGCAGGGTAGGATGGATGAGCGGGCAGGGCTGCAGGAGCACCAGAGGACAGCTTCAGTGCCCCCAAATCCCCCCTCCGCCCTGCCCAACCACCCACGCCAGAGCTGGAAGTCAGCCAGGGTCACGGACGGTGGCTGCCACACTGAGGCTTCAGCCAGCAGCAGAGGGTCAAAATAAAAGTGTAGACCTGGTTTGCAGTACTAGATGCACTATACTGTAGGTGTGTGTGCTCATCTGGGGCACACAAGGGGGGAGGGAAGCAGATGAATATTCCCTGGACTCAAGCTTGATGGAGTACTTGTGTCCTTGAACTACCTTCACCTCCCCTCTTTCTCTTAAATACACACACACACATTCAGACATTCCCTGCCTGTGTTTGCTGGAGCGTGGTGGAAGAGGTTGTCTGCAGATGGCTGCTTATTGGGCCCCAAGGTCCTGGAGGGTGGATTACGGGGGGACACCGGTGAGGTTGTTTATGTGTTTGAGACACACAGAGTGGCAAAGGTTTGAAAAGCAGGTGATGTCACAAAGAGGTGAAGGCAGAGTTTATGATCTTGTTTTTGTATTGGTGTGTTCTTGCTCTGTCACTGCACTTTTTATGTATGCCTCCCTGCAAGATGATATTTATTCTCCTAGACTAATTTAGCTTCCTGTTCAGACAATGAACACATTATGACAGTTGTAACAAGAACCAGGTGGCATCACAAGCTAACAAAGAATTGAAACAGTATTACATTTCAAAAGGAGTGTTTTTATTACATCAGGCACACTGATTGAATGCCAGTTCATTCAATCACTGATTGATTTTCTCTACCCGCTTTTCAGAATCTTATCTCAGCATACACCTGGTTGAAGGCAGAGAGAAATGCTTGACTGTTTGCAACTGTCACAAGGCAGACAGAGACCTATGGGGAGCCAATTACTTCGTAACACTCAGAACAGAACAAAAGCAAATGTCTGAACCAAAAAAAGTTTGATGTGATTGTTTTAAGGTTAGCTATGTAGAAATGTTCTAAGAAAACGCTACAAATGCTTGAGAATAAGAACTATTAAAAAGTAACTTAACACTAGCTTTGCTCCGGTTTTAACCTCTCACCTTGCCAGGTGATGTCAGACTTGATATTTTCAACACAGAGTGAAGCACTACTTTGTGTGTGTTATTAAGGCATTAAAAACAGGATGGAATTAAAAAGAAATGAAGAATTAAGCCAAATGTAATGCTAAAGAAATATTTTGAGGCTTTGGAAATAGGAATATTCACATCCGTGGCAAGAATTAGTGAGAGGATTGATGCCGCCTTGGTGTGTGCATTAATATGAAGATAAAACCAGTAGCCAGTTAGCATAGCATAAAGACTGGATACAGAGGTAAAACTGACACATTTGTAGAGGCCAAACTAATGTGATATAATGTGTTAGATGGTGAGGTTTACATACACATGTATCATGTTGGACGAAGCCAGGCCAACTGTTTCTGCTAACATTTTTCTGCTAAACTAAACTAACCATCTCTGAGAGTAGTATCGGTCCTCTCATTTAACTCTCAGCAAAAAGGAAAACTTATTTCCCAAATTGGTGAGCTATTCCTTTAAACAAAGGTAACAAAAACAACAGGAAAAGCAAGGCTCATGAGAAGTTCCTTTCTTTTTAACATCAGTTGCATGAGATAAGTAGTAAACTGTTCTAAGGTTTGATGCCAAAGACAGCAAATGCAATCTATCACTTCATTTTGAGATTTGGAAAAATCCACTAGATACACAGCAATTAAGAAATGCTCCCAGGGGCTTCATCATGTTTGGCTTTATACAGTATGTACAGTAATAATTAACATTTAAAATTTGAACTTCACAATTCAGCCAATGCAGACATCACCACTGTCGTAATGTGTTTCCTGCACTTGAAAGTTTTGCATGTGTACTTCTGCATACAGTATGCTACTGTACTTTGAAACTTATGTATAAAGCCAGGAACAATTTATTACCTGGTGGAATTCAAAAACTATTTAATGAAAGGGAAGGGGGATACAATTTAAGGGGTCAGTTAAATTTAAAAATTCATGCTATACGTACAACCAAAAAAAGATTTTGTATTTCCATAAGTGGGGTAAAACTATGGAATAACTTAAGTGTAGACATAAAAAACAGTACTAGAATTGACAAGTTTAAACATAAATATAAAGGTATGTGTCAATCAAGATATATGCAAGAACAGGCTCAATGATTAAGTGTGGTGTAGAAGAGAATTATTTATGAAGAGATACTGTTTGCAAACCAATGATGTAAGATGATGTCATGGGGTAGGACTGGATAAGTCTGACTTCTTCCTACTCCATTCAAGCATGTACTAGGTATAAGCAAATTGATATTGGATTAGCATTTGTTGGATATGTGTAAAATTATGTGTGTTGACATATCAACTGTCTTTACATGCTTGAAAGAATAAATAAATCAAAATCAAATCAAACTTATCCTCTGTCACTCTGTCTCCACAGAAGTGTCAGTCAGCCTGTCGTCCTGCTGCGAACATGAAAGTCATCCATCATGAATGATTCTGAAGGAGAAAGAAGTTCCTCCCTCTTTTCTCTGAACACTGACTGAATAGCAAACAGGTGAGACTGATGTAATAAGCCACAGAAACACAAAAGCCTTTGAGTTTAAGGCAGTGAACTTACACACTGCAGGCAAAAACAGAAAATCAGGCTACAATTATACAGTCATACATCCATGTGCACACTTTTGACAATCACCTTCGGGCCAGCAGCTACTTGATCAACATGACAGACTTTGTGCATTTAAGTGGGTAGATTGATTGAGGGATGACAGGCACAGCTCTTTGGCCCCAGGGACACCCTGAGTATACAGTACACACACATCAGTGAACCCAGAACTCCTCCAGGTCTGTTGTCGATCCTTGTAGTGTCAAGTTATTGTTTACATGGAGCTCATGTTTATTCTAAAGCTACTTACACCTCACTGGCTCAGCCTCAGGCTTCTTTCCTGTAAAACTCCTGCTGACTCGTTCCCAGTTTTCTATGTTGACCTTTTTATGTCTTTCTCTCTGTCACTCTTTCACTTCTTTTTCTCTTTGTCTCTCATTACTATCCGTTAATTCTCTACATCTCATCTTCTGTGATGTTGCGTACCATCGCCTCCTCTGCGTCCAGTGCTGAAAGTTACTGCACTTAAGTACAAGATTAAGGTACTTGTACTGTGGTTTATGTCACCATTTTGTCACATTTCTACACCAAACTGTACATATTAGAGGGAGATATGATACTTTTTACTCCACTACATTAATCTGGCAGCTATTACTTTTCGGACTAAGAGTTTACATAGAAAACATATAAACGGTTTATGATTAAATTATGTAACGGTATATGAAGTTGTAAAGTAGCTCCAGCTTGACCATCTACAGCATTAAACTACCACTGACATATTAATACCCTGGTAACAGTGATCCAAAGGTGTATTCATATGACACTAATCGAGACCATTCTGTGTGCTTTAAGTAAATTCTGTTGTTAAAATGTATGTACTTTTACTTAAGTAAAACTTTGAATCAAGAACAATTTCTTAGCGTGCTATAAATGTTTTTAATGCTTTTTACACTGTCTGTCTTTGCAGCTGAACACAGCTGAAAAACTTAAAAAAAAAAAAACAATCAATAGTGAATTATCATGTTTTAGGTCTCATAACTCGGCCCACTCAACAATGGAGAGAGACAAGGTCATGAGAGAATAAATAGCAGGCAGACTAGCTAATGATCTATCATTCTGGACAAGCGGCTGCGCCCAAGAGCCGGCTGGCTGACAAGATCATTAATAAAAACTGCTGGGAGAGTGATCGATTGGCTTGATGGATGATCAGAGCCACAAATACTATAAAACACCTGCATGTCAAGCCTTGTCTCTTTGAAGAGAGGGAGAGAGCCTTAAAACAAATCTAGGCCTCACCATGGAGTCGTCAGAGGGGATCAAATCCTGATGCTCAGCCTCTGTACTGTGCTGGAAAATGAATCCAGCACCACAGCTACGTGTGTGATTTCATGCATATATCTGCACGTAGCTGTGGTGTAAATCGGTCTGTGTTTGATGCAGTCAGTGTGTTGTAGTCCATAGAAGCTCAGTGTGAGAGCATCACTGTAATTTGAGGGAGATCAAGGAGTCAGCAGGTGTCATGCTGTACAGGCTGCTGCAGCAGTCCACCGCAGTGTAATGGGAGGTATTTATTATTGACGTGCTCCCCTCGCACCATTACTGAGCTCTGTGGTGGTAATCTGTGTCTCCACTATCCACTCCCTCCTTTTTCTCACTGCCTACTATCTGTAGTATCTGCCAGTGTGTTACAGTGTCTCTGTCATCTACACGCACACCTTACTCAGCAGTTCATCTCGATTTCTAATCTTTTCAGTGAGAGAGAGAATGAGTTCAGAAGGAGTGTAGTCTCCTTGCATGGCTGCGTGTATCAATATCTGTACATTGATCTGGCCTCGCCTCTCCTCCTCCATTCGTCCAAATATAGATTGGTTTTCCCAGCAGGTATCTGTGCCTAGAATCTGACTGATGGGCGGAGTGTGTAAAGGAGGGTGTATTGAACCAGTGTGTCCCACATGCCACTAGAGTGTGTTAGACCGCTGAGCAAAAAGCACTGGGAGGAGGAAAGGGGACCAAGGTTACACTTCAGATGAGTGTCACAGACACTGGTTGGAGGAGTGGGGCTTTCTGAATTGATGCGATGGTAAACATAAAGGTGTGCAGGGCTTCAGTGATCATTTTTATCATCAGTTGATCCTTTGATTACTGTACTTTTAGATTTATTGATTAATCATTTGTCAGAAAGCACTGACAAATTCCCATCACAGTTTCCCAGGGTCTAAGATGACTTCTTCACATTGCTTGTTTTGTCAGAACAACAGCCCAATATCCAAAGATATTGTATTTACAATATTATCATGCACACAATAGCAGCAAGTCCTCACATCTGAAAAGCTAGAACCAAATGAGTTTTTATATTTTTATTAATTAACTTACCGTTTCACTCTAAAGGTGCGTAAATAGCACATGGGTATGGTTTTAATCCTTCAGTGCTTGGCTTTTTTTTTATTTGCTCGTTTGTTTTTTACCAAACATTCATACAGTACAGACTGTACCTCAGGGCTCAAAACTTAATACAGATTTAACTACAAATCAAAATACTGTAACTTTGCTTTAAAGCTTTCAGCAGATACTATTAATTGAGATTATAAAAATAAATCCCACAAAACAATTTTTTGCTGCTGTATCATCTTTGTAATTGACACGTCCCAGCATAAATTAGCCGGTACACTAGTCAGAAATCACAGTCCAACACAAAAATACACCTGTATGTACTTTTTATGTACATACATAAAACACATTATTAGCATCTAACAATAAAAAACAAGAAAATAAATTATTTAGAGCAAAATATTAAAATGTTTTTCAGTGTTAATGGAAAAAAAAATACTAATTAATGTTTTGTCCCTTAAAAGTAAGTAAAAGATTGACTGTACTTGTCATTGTGTTTACTATCAACACATAAAAGCGTAAACATCACACTTTGGTGTATGTAAGTGTGAGTGGAAGGGATGTTTTATGTGTGAATGCATTTTGTCTCCATGTGTCTGTGCACTCGCCATCAGTGCCCGACCATAAATCAGAGGCCCTCGGTCCGTGGGATTGCCCAGTTCATGGCTCCATGTGTAATTACAAAGCTGACATTTAAACAGCAGCAGCCATATTTCATTCTTGCCAGTGCTGGATGCAGAGTGGTCTACGGATGGAGTAAAAGTTTTCAAAAAAAAAAGACAAGAAAAAATCGATAAGAGATAGAATGCATTCTAATGCCTTGTTAATGGACCCGCATATTAATTATTCAACGGTGGCCATTTTGTCTGCTCATTAAAGTGGCAGCTGAGAGGAGAAATGTGCAGCATTACTCTGCCCTGCTCTGTTCGGGCAGTGTTATTACCACATCCTCCACTTCTCACAAAACTAGATATACAACACATGTCTGTATGTGTTAGTGTTGCTGATTTGTATCTGTGGGTTTGCAGATCCATAATGTATCTGTTTCTCTCTGTCTGCTGTGCTGCTTCTATAAGAGATGTTATCTCTGGCGTGTGTACCAGTAAGAATTTTCTTTTAAAACACTGAATGTAAATTATTAAATTACTTCACCTCAGTCATGCCATTACTTTTAGTTATTTCTGTGTGATTACTTTTGGTAAAGGGACAGTTTTCCCTTTCTGCGTATTCAGACTATAACAACATTGCCGACACTTCATCTTTGGCTTTTTCTCAAATGTAAAAGCTGTTTGTTTGCCTTTTTACCACCGCCTCTCTTTGACATGGTTGTATTGTCACATTATCTTCTAAAACATTTTTACTGTGTTAGAAACCATTCAGGGAAAAGATGCGAATTTGCACACTGATGTATAGGTAGGTGAAGCAGCCTGAAGCAAAGTGAGAATATCAAAGCTGTAAATTACACCACATCATCACCAGATAACACCAGCTCTGCGCCTTTCCTCAGCCCTGTTTTACATAAATTTCATGCTACAAATTTTTCTAGAAGACAGTTGCATGTCTGTGTCTGTGTACAGGCAAGTAGATCATAATAAGTGGAGCAAAGAAAAATTATTTGTATGACAATTAATGTGGTTTTAAATACCTTTAATTATCATTGCACTGAATGACAATCTGTGTCATTAGCTAAAAGACAGTTATTGATTCTGAAGCTCTACTGCAAATAAGATGAATTCTCTCTGGCTTTATTTACTGTATCACCTTTGATTGTAACTTTTGCAAAGTTACAAGGAATTGTAATGTTTTTGAGACTATTAGGCTATTAAAATATTTTTTCAGCTATTGTGTATATTATCATACTGAAAGTGTCTTTAATCCAGGATGGGCCAGTGATGTTTGAGATGCAGGCGACTTTGAAGCCAGACAGGGTGGGCAGGCAGTTAGGAAACGTATCTGAGCTGGGAGGTGTGAGACGAGGGAAATTAAAATTCCTCTTTGGCCTGCTGTCAACCTGTGTCTGCTGACTGCTCAGAGGAGCTGCTGCGTGATGGGATTCCTAACGACACTGCAGCAGCCATTGCCACGTATTGCTTTGACTTGATTTATTTCTCCTTTTACAACCCCACCACCGCCACCTCCAACACCCACCCACCCAGTGATGTTCCTTTTTCTTCCTCCCAGCATCACCATTCAAATGTTCAGTTCGGCTCTCTGTCTCCCTCTGTTTTCATAGAGTGTGCCCACTGATACCATCTCCTCTTCAGCACCATGCCAGTGGCAGGGAACATCTGTCTCTAGGTCCCCCTGCCACACAGTGTTAGAGTCAGGGTAGGTCTCTCACACGACTGGCCAGTCTGCAGAGGCCTGTGGGCACAGCACGGCAGGACTGACTTTGATATGAGGGTGTCCAGGCGGAAAGTTGTCCCCAGGTCCATCCTGCTTTGCCTGCCCCACACCATTTATATCTGTGTGTGCGTTTTTTGTGAGATTGTGCGAGCATAGGCAGTGATTTTGTAGGTCAGAGGGCACCAAGGCATCAACAAAACAACTAAAGGCTGCTCCAGTATGTCCTCTCATTCTCTTTGTGATTTTTGTGTGTCTCTGATGCTTGTGTCTTTTAGTTGACCTTGTGAAATATTGTGCAGGTGCCGTGTGCAACGCTTTACATGTGTTTCTCATTCTTGCAGTAGGGCAGAACTAGCAGTGATGCATCCCTCTGCTTAGCCACTGTTTGGGCAGTTTTAATCTCCTTACATTTAGACAGTTTAAATTGTCTCAGTTCAGTTAAGTTCCTATTTACCCAACCAAAGTGGAATGCTATCAGAGCCAGCAGGCGCTAGTCTGCCAATCACACAGCAGATAGCTCCTTCATGCAGCGACAGCCCAGATAAGGGGGGAAAGTACTGTTTAATCAAACAGTGGAGGGAAGAGGGGGATGAGCACAGGGAGCCTGGTCTAGGTTGTACCAGCTATTCAGAAATCAGTCACTAAGTTTGTGTGTAAAGTATTTCTTCTGAGATTTTTTTTAGTTAGCATCAAACTAGTGGTTTTCTACACTGTTAAAGCTACTTCACCTCATTTCTTCTGAGCTGCAAGAGGGTGTAGTGAGACTTAAAACAAACTGGCACCATAAGCCACTCAACTGATCTTTGCTATTTTTGTGAAGTGTAATTTAAATTCTTTCAGGTTTATATTCATGTTTTTATTATTAAACAGAATTTTGATCAAGTGTCAGAACAAATATGTCATCTTTATTTCATATCAGGTCATTTTTACTCTTCACGCTGAACACATCAACGGACAAAGCTAATGTTAGCTCTGTTCGTTGGTTAAATTAGCACCAGTTACACGCAGCGGTTAGTGGGTGTAAATCTTTAATAACTCATCTCTAGGTAAGAAATATCTTTTGAAGATGTGCAACCCATTTTAAATTAGTGATGCATAAATCAGTTAGTAAACACCTATTTATAACTAGCTCCTGGTGTACATAGACAACATTCTGCTTATCCTTTTCTTTCTTTCAGTTTCTTCTCACTTTCCTCCTTCAACTCTCCTGCCTTTTCTCTCTCAATCGCCCCATTTTTATGCCTGTAACTGCTTTCTTTCCATATCCATCCATATTTTTCCATGCCCTTTTCAGAGGTGGGGTATTTATCATCTTTATACATGGAGGTTTGAGGGCCATGCATTGGCCTGATAGATGGGCTAACCACTGATGTGCAACCACCTCAGGAGACACAAACCAGACAGCTATTTAGCTGCTGAACAAGACACATTGCTTTTGTTTTATTGTTTTCAAACTGCAAGGATGTGTGTGGGTGGGGAGAGGAAGGTTTAAGAGGAGGAGGAGGAAAGAAAGAGAGAAAGAAAAAAAAAAACAAATGCACCTTAGCTGTCCAGAAAAATGCAGTAACTGTGCACTAGATGGGCCATTATCTATCTATAGTGTATCACTATGTTGTTGACAAATCAATGGCTCTGACAGTGATGACTCTGTGTTACAGCAAACATAAAGCACTCAGACAGTCTCCCTGCCTGCTATGGAGACTGCAGCAAGGGAGCACTCTGGGCAAGGGTACTCATAGCCAGGAGGGGTGTATGTGTGTGTGTGTGTGTGTGTGTGTGTGTGTGTGTGTGTGTGTGTGTATGTGTGTGTGTGTCAGAGTGTGACACAAAAATGAGTTTTATTGTGCACATTTGTATTTTCTGTGCAGGTGTGGGTGTGAAAATTTAATGTGGATGCAGCAGAGTTCCTCATGAAAGCTTCATGCCATTGATCACATTTTGAATCATTGCTAAGGCTAAATACTGTCTTAACATTATTTAGAAGTACCTTTAGTATAATCCAGAGATTATAATAGTTTGCAGAAGCAGTGAGGGCACAGCGCTCTGATTCTTTAACACAAATCGCTCTTTTCACAAGCAGTCTGTAGACTCTCTAATGTGAGACTTGACCTGTTCCTGCACTCTTATCAGACGGGGCACTAACTCTGCTCAATAAGGAACCAAAACTGCAGCCTGTAGTTGAATGTGCTACATAACAATAGCCAATTCATACAAACATGCTGTACAGTACCTGCAGTTTATGGTTAATATGCAATATGCATAGCGAGACACGGAGGTAGCGTATGCATCAGGATGTCATATTTGTTTTGAATCTGGGACTTGGAGCTGGGAGGATGGGATGAAATTAATTAGCTCAGACTTGTACCATGAGTTCTAAGAAAGAGAAGGAGGGTTCATCTGAGTTTGATTGACAGGTTGGCTGAAAGCCCCCTGAGGCAGGTGCCAGGGGCAGTTCACTAGGTCCAGAACACTGTTGCCTATACAAATATAAAGGCTTGAATGATGTGTTTGGCATATGGGCCTTTCATTGCTCAGGACACAAACTCACTGGTTTCTCATCTGGTAATAAACATTAAAAATGAGAGAATTCCACAGATAAGAGAGATGGTTCAGTGATGTAGGTGTATTAGTTTATTGTATTATTTTTCAGGGACAGCTCACAATGATGACCAGAGAGAATGTAAATGTGTTTTTCATCTGATGTCCCAGTTGCTTGATGCCACAGAACTGTCACAGAAACATGAAAGAACACAACAATAAATAGGATGCTGAGTAAAAAATACATGTACTGTTCATACATACGGTACAGCTTTAAGGAAAAATGACAACAAAAATGTCATTGTAGTTATAGTTTATGAACCCTTGTACCACATAACAAAATATATATGATACATGTTAAAATGAGAAAGCCATTTTAAATTTGTTATTAATATGTTAAATGTCATCTTTAAAAAAGAAAAATGACAAAAGTAATTCAATTCAGTTTATTTGTATAGCACCAATTCACAACAACAATTGTCTCGGTGCACTTTACATAATCAGGTCTAGACCTCACACTATCATAAGGAAAACCCAACAAATCCCCCTTGAGCAGCACTTGGCAACAGTGAGGAAGAAAAACTCCCTTTAACAGAAGAAACCTCGGCCAGACCCCAGCTCAAGAGGATCAGTGACACACTGCAGACTAGATTGTAGCGTCATACTCAATATTTTTTCAAATATCTCTAGTAGTTTCTTACCTAGAAGATTTATTTGTCCAGCTTTTAAGATTTTTCAGCTCAGAGACTTTTGCCTCCATCATATTAAGATGGGGGAGAGCGGAATATTGTTTGTGGTGAAAAATACATCCAAGTCCCAGAGCTTGGCATCCAGTTTTGCAAAAGAAAAAGCAAATACCTAGTGATCTTTCAAAATTCTAACCAGATGGTTAGATGAGTCTATGACGAAGGTTTTTTTTCTCAAAGGTTGAAAATCAGATGCCTTAACTCTGCGACTTGAATGTGATAGTAATGCATCATAAGAGGCCCACACTGAGGCTGAGCAACATTTGTGAAATAACATGGAGGGAAAAGACATGTTGCTATTCAGTTTCAAAAACAAATGTATTTTAATGTTATGAGCATCACCACATACCAGTTACCCTATAACTGCTGTTACCCTGTAACAAACCACTCCTTCTCCACCCCTCCCCCAGGGTCAGCTGCAGAAGAACATCACTGCTGGATACAAATCCTCAAGGACAGTCCCCGTACTCGGTACAACACCCTGCTGGCTAAATTAAAGAGACTACAAAATCCATCTTGATGTTAACTGAACAGAAACAAGCAGGGAGACAAAATCATGCTGGAAGTAAAAGCCTGGTGAGTATGATTCTCAGCTAGTCTAAGCACCGCCTCCGAGGTTACCCATGCACAGAGACAGAGAGGAGAGCAGCAGGGAGAGAGGACAGGGGGAGCTGACGGGGTTATTGCGAACAGCGTCAGCAGCACATAGGCAAGAAGACAAGTGTCAACAGCGACAGGAAAAAGACGGAGGCTGCCCGTGCGCCTATGTCTCCTCCGCCCGACCCCCACCCACACACACCCCCATCCCCCCTCCACTGCAGACAAGCATATGTGGGCTGACAATATGACATTGCCAGTGAAGCCAAGGACAGACAGACACAGAGAGAGAGAGAATGAGGGAGGACCAGGAGCCTCGGTAGCCCTGACATCCCCGACTCTGACAGCTGATGGAGGCAGATTAGGCTCACGCACGCACACAACTGTCAACCACCTCCCCACACTCATTCCCATTCACCCCTCTCCTAAATTTTATCCCCTGTCCAAAAAGTCATGTGTATGCCTTACTCCACTCTTCTCCAGCCCTCCACTTGATTCTTCCCTGGCCATGCAATGAGGAGCACTGAGTTCTAAACTCTCCTCCTTTTCCTTCCTTTAGTTCACATATAGAAAAATGCACAGGCAGAAACAGTTCCAGAGAAAGTTAGCACTGCATGCTCAGCACTGAGGGGATGCTGTTATGTGGGTAGCTTTGCATCACACAGAGCTTTGTGAATTTGCACTGATGCGATGTTTATGCTCTTGCTTAGCAGGATATGACCCAGCCTTATTGACAGCCAAGGTCTAAAAAGCCAAATGCAAGTCTGAAACAACAACGTCAAGACCTGTAACTGAGAACAAGTTCACACAAGCCGTCTGCTTGTAACTGTACACAGCAGATATCCATTGCCATGATGTCTGTAATCCCCACGACTTAGGTTCCCTCACACAGCCCTGTCGCCTCCTGTGGGGTTAGCTAGACATTCTGTATAAACACACTTAACTGATGCATTAGCAATGCATTGAGATTTTTTTGCAGTAGTGTCTTATCTCACCATGGATCTGTTTTTGGTTGTAAGTCAGAATAGGTGGAAATATGAGCCCGTGTGTTGCTTGTACGATCCTGTGCAAGAAACATAAAGCTGACATTTTACTCTCTGACATAAAAGGGGTAGAGAGCAGAGAAAGCAAGATGTGTATGTGTGTTGCCTGTGTGTGTGTGCGATGAGGCAGACATCCACCCTGGGACAGTATGTCATTGATTGTGCTGCAGGAAGAGGCCTATTTTCTCCAGCCATGGTTCAAACGAGGGAGTCAAGTGTGTCATATGTGTTGGCTCTAATTGGCATCCCACCTCAGTGGGGGCTGAGTAGGGTGAAGGCAGAGCCGCAGTGACTCGACCACCTCCTGATCTCTCACACACACTTCCCCTCACTGTTGCCAGCGGAAATCTTACATTGTGCTCTCAAGGGATGATTTTTAATACAGATTTTTATGGCTTATTGTGTTGTTCTGTGTCTATAGTGTGTAAGAGGCCATGTTGCCTGGCTTTTGTGTCTGTGATTGTATTATTATGATTAGCAGACTGCACTTCAATGTCTGAAGGTACTTGTATTGTGAGTTGTGTGTCTGCCGTTTTTCTGCTTAGTATTTTTCTTTCCTTCCTCAGGGTCGTTATTTGTTCTATTCTTCAGACAGGTCTCTTATTAGACAAACCCTCAAGTCTCACAAGTTCCCTTTCTCTTGTCTCCAGCTGGATGCTTACATGGAATAACACTGCCATCTGCAGGTGTAAAAAGTCGACAACATCTGCTGCAACATTTTAAAAACTACTGCCACCAAAACTAATCAAAACATAATATTGGCTAGACGAAGTAATCTTTAGGTATTTCATCTATGGGTGGATGAAAAAAAGCACAAACATGAGTCAATAGGCAGAATCTAAGCATTAAATCAATCTAACAGTTCATATCAGTAGTGTAAAGTAGGGTGGGATGTGATAGAATGTGTGTGTATTTCAACATAATTCATTTTCAGACATAGCAAAACTGTTTATATTCTTATTTTAATCTGTGATAGAAGTAGTTTTTAACAAAACATGTAACATCTTCCAAAACTGCAACTTTTGCACTTCTGCAAATTATATTAGTGCTTGCAGAGCTTTGGCCTAATTTAGTGCTAATACTGAAGCTTGGTTGATTTTGGATTTGAATTGCTGACCAGGATGCATGCTGGCAAAAATAACCTTGACAGTAATGCTAACCTTAGATTAAATGAATAAATACGTTGGTTTGGATTAGCTGCCTTTTAAATAGAGCTTTCCCATTTATGAACAAAATTATAAGAAGAGTATAAAATGATGAATTATAACACAAGATATGCTGGGATTACTTACTAGTTCCTGGGCAAAGGTTAACAGACAGTCATCTAAACAACCCTTAAAGAGGTCATTTGTCTGTTACAGGAGATTTTTTTTCTCATAAGGCCAAAAGGCTGTTTGATATTTACACAAGAAATAATGCAAAAATGATCAACAGTAGATTTCCAGATGGTTCACCACTGTAACTGTTTCCTCTTCCTCCTTCCAGTATTCATCATTAACAGTGTTACTGTCTGTAACCTGACAGCTACCAGGCTAGGTTTCTTATTTCCTGATCAGTGGGGCTCCTAGCCACCTGTGTGTTGAAGAATATTGTGTAGTGACCCAACTGCATCTTCAGGAGCACCACAAGTTATCTCCACTATTATCGGCTCAGTGGGACGCTTCTCGTACAGGCCTTTGAAACTCATAGTCTCTTTTCATTGAGTTTTGCTGGTGTTGTTATTCTTTGGTACATCAGAGTTGACAGTATGGTGCACGACACAAATGCTTCTGGGTGTCATCTTCTTCTGAAGTTCATAGTTTGTAATATCGATACATTTGTAGTAATTTGGTCCAAACCCATTGAACTTGTTCTACCAAAGAGAAAACTACTCCGGGCTCTGGCATAGCTTAATTTGTATTCTTTTCTTTGTATGGCCTGTTTGGCATATCAACAGTGGTTCCAGGAGCCAAGTTACCTGCGTTACTAACAAGCTAGTGACAGAGAGAACTTCAGGCACTGCTGCAAACCAGGTCAGATTACAAATCAGATTTATTCACAAGATTGTAAACAACAAATGGCAGCAAAGGATACACAATTCTAAATACACTCATTAAGATGGTTTTCCACAGGATGTTGTTAAAGCTGCATTAATCAATATTTTTATAATAGGAATGGGTCAAATGATAAAATGCGTTAAAGGTGTCACTTGTAGAGACAAACACAGATTTTAATTGCAAAAGAAATATGGCATAGAGTCCAATGCAGCTCAGGATGTCTGAATTTGATTTCCATTATGGTCATACTATTGGGGTAGATTTTGTTGTGTGAAACTGATACGTAACTAAACAAAGGTTCTGTGCCACAGCTTGTCCACTTGTCTAATTATTGCGGTAATACAACTGATCTTTCGGAGCTGATGTGAGCTGTATTTTCTGCCAAAAGTGGGCAGCAGAGCACTGTCTCTGAATATGTAGAAAAGGATTTCAGTGAGATTGTAACTGGTTTAAGTTTGAAACTTTAGCATTACTTCTGGACTTGTTTTTATTTATAAGAAACACTCCTGAAACCCTTTTACACAAAACATTGATTGGGTCTTTCTGACGGACAAGTGATATTCTTCCTGCACCACATGAAATGTCAGCGATCAGTCTGGAATGAAAGCCTGTTGTTAGGGAAGTGTGTGTGTGGGTGTGTATGCGAGTGTGGGAGGGGTTGAAGGAAGAGAAACATCAGGGTGGCTCCTGCCAGCTGCTTTTGCCTGAAATGACATAGACAGGTGTTTTAAAAGCACCCTTTTATACCAGAACGCTCTCTCTCACAAACACACACACGCATTCATTAACATGCTGACACATGGAAGTATGCAGACACCCAGTGGGTCTGCCAGCACACTCAATTATTTCACTACTTTCTAGCATGAGAGCTTCTCGACTGAATATATCAGTGGTATCTCCATCTCAGTTGTACATTCATAACTGATAGAGTATCATTTGTGTGTTTTGTTTCCTTGAATTTAACATCCAAGTTAGTCCTCACTTTTGGTTTTCAACAGGATTAGGTAAAGGGGGGTCTCTGTTGTGAAAGAGTATCCAGTGTGGTCCAAAGTTGTTTACTTTCTAAAGATCTGTATCGACCTTTGACCTGAGCAGACTAGCTGAGAGGGTGTTGATGAGTATTTGAAGTAGTGCAGAGGAGATCTGGGCTCCATTTCATAACCATCCATCCCATAAACCCAAACACATCATTCCTCCTGGATGTGTCTCCCCTGAAAACATCTATCCAATGAACAAAACTAACTTTCTCACTAGGTTTTTCCCTTTAAGGTGGACAACAACCACCTCCTCTTCTTGCAGCAGGGATAGTTGCACTAAAGCACTTGTACTTCATCAGTCGTGGTACTGCCACATTTTAAGCATCACAGCCATCTTCATCTCTGCTTTTACATTTCCCACCGTGCTGATCTTCATCTCCTGCTTTGTTTGCTTCTGCTCGTTCAAAATAGCCAGAGATCAAATGGATGTTGAACGTTCTGAACATGAGAGGGCATGACACACACAACACTGAATGGGAGGTTATGTATGCAGCCATGTGACTTGAAGGTTGAGCCGGACAAAAAGGATAAAAATAAAATAGTTCTAAGGCCAGAAAGGTTCACTGGGGGACCAAAAGTCTCACAGTGAAAACTGTGGAAGTGGCTTGTTTGGACACAGGTGAATGCTAAAACGTCTGTGAATGAGAGAAAAATAGTTGCAGTCTCTCCTATATGACCCCTCCCTTACAGATTAAATTAACAAAGAGAAGCTGTCTCAAGTAGAAATTGCCACATAAAGCGATGAGTTAACTACACAGAGCCAGTAAAGACATGCTAACAGGCCAGCATATGCACATTTTCTGTTAAATATAAGAACTCTGCCCATGGCCGACATGCCCACGGTGATGGGTAAGAAGTGGTGG